AAAAACTTGAATTTGATATTACTCGATTAAATGACCTAACTTTATTCAGCGTACCCAAATTGACTTTACTACTTACGTCTTCGGCTTGTTCAAAATAAAAAATTGAATTTTCGATGGGAATTTGTCATAAATTAATTAAATTTCATTTGTAATTCAAGCTACATAAAGTTTGATTAGTATGTGAATTTGAAGCGTGATTTGGCTACCGCCAATATCCCCAATCTGGGATCCGATAATTATTAGGAGACTGCGGATTTTTATGCAGAAAACGGAGCCTAATAATATGTACCACTTAACTATAAATAAAATGTATACAAATTTATACACTAGGCTCCGTATTTTCCATAAAAATCCGAAGTCTAATTATTAGATATTAATAAATGAAATAAATTGTGTGCATATTATATAAAAACAAAAATACTGAACAGAACTTACCTTTAAATTTTGATCAACCTTTTCCTCAATAGGGGTGGCCATTTTTGCATTGATCTTCATATTTCCTGCAATTGAAAAAATAATATTTATTGAAGATAAAATTTTAAATTTTGTGCAAAAATTATTTTAATATACTTTTTAAAGCGCTGTACTGAATTCAGCCTTAATTTAGCACACAATTCCTCTGACTTGTAGGTATTGATGACATTGAAAATAACTACATATATCATTGACTGGCCGTTAAACTATTTGAACTCATTCTATAAATGCCAATTAAAAAATCAATAAAGGCAACTTTTTCCACCGCATGCGAAGCACAATGGACTTACATATATATAGACAAACGTATGTAGGATGTATAAAATACTTTTAAATAGCTTCATTGCAACAAACAAAACTTACACCAACAATACGGAAAGAGCTTAGCAACACTAATCGCCAAGCACCGACAATTAATTAAACAGACTAGGCAAAACGCCCGCCAACAACCAGCAAACGATAAATGCTTGCAACAACCAACTCAGTGACAGTCACTAACTCAGTCAGTCAGTTAAACGAGCATGATAGAACAAAAAGCCTGATAAATAGATTAGTCTATCATTCAGCCAGCGACGAGTCACTGCTGTGGCTAAAACACACCACTAAATAATTGTTGCTTACTCGACGCTTTTGTAGCTGCGTGCACTGGTGCATGAATGCCCCCATTGTGTTGGTGTCAAGCCCTCTTGCTTAAATAGTTAGCGAACTTCAAGCAACCTGCCGAGTTTTGTCGTTGAATCGAACGACGGCAACGACGAAAGCGACCTAGCCAAATTGGTTGAATAATGGTTTAAGAAGCGCGAACAATAACAAAAACAATAGGACAGAAAGCTAAGCACCAAAATGACGGCAGAAAATAACATTGCGAAAACAAAAAAAAAAAAAAAGAAAACAAATCAAACTAAAGGTAAAATGTAAGAGTAAACACTAACTGACGGTGCGTATACGCCCTGTAGTAGATTGTGGCTGGCTGGCAAACACCTCAGTGTGTGGCGGTGTCAGAAACGTTGCGTTTGCTTGTAGTACTTACTCGTACATACATACGCATGTGTGTACGTAGTTGGCAGTTGAATATTTGGAGCAGTGCGAAAAATCAATTAATTTTATATAAGCAAAACACTGTTGAAGCGCAACGAAATCAGATCAGATCGCTTGCAACCTAATTGTTGAGGCGTTAAGCGGTGGCTCACCGCAATGCGCACCAATGTGCTCAAGTAGTTGGCAAGTAATGCGTGCCAATAAACTTGAACAGGCCTCGGCTGCGATTGGGAATGGAAAGCCAAGCATCTGAAGCCTCTGCGGGCTTAAACATATACATATGTATGTACAAAATGTTAAATGCGAATTGCTAGACAACAGTAAAAAGGTTTGTTTCCGTAAATTTAAATGTTTTACTAAAGTGGGATTTGCACAATACTGAAATTGTAAGGAATTTTGGCCCTAAAAACGTTTGCCGGTTTGAGCTGAGAACAAAAAAAATCTCATAAAATTTTTCTCTCCTTTCCCAAGAGGCACCAAATGTTCAGCCCATCCGTCTATTTTGTTAGTGGATAACCTTTCCTTCATTGCCATGATTTCGTTGAATGTTTATGCGCTTAACTATCTTCGAAAAGTTCGTTAGTCCATCTTCTTCGGTACCCGTCTCCACTAAGAACAGAACCATAGATCTTGCATAGAATGAGTAGTTTTCTCGAAAGCCAGCAAAACCTTCTCATCTTTGTGCGACCTCGTCCACGTTTCTGCGCCATATGAAATGACGAGTGACAGAGAGATTTGTAGAGCGTAGTTCTTCTTCATCGAGAGAGTTCTCTGCTGTTCAATTGCCTGTCGAGCCAAAAATTAGCACCTGCTGGCGCGTGATATTTTGGCTGACACTATTAGTGGTGTAAGTGATGGATCCCAGGTAGTCAAAATACTTTACTACTTCAAAGTTGTAACTACCAACAGTGCCGTGTGCCACAGACATGGGGTAAAAAGGCATTCAGTGCGATCACCCTGCAATTCCAATCGAAAGGTAACACTATTCGGGAGCAAAATTCGATTTGCACATAAACTCGTACTCGAACTCTGTAGTTCACTCGCACTAACTTTTCGGTAATATTCAGAAATGGTGAGTAATATTTCAAATTCAAAACAAAAGACGATACTGAGATAATAGCTTCGTTCCCCACGCTTTCCGGGCTGCTCCGGTAATTAGAGAGTAAAAATAAGTTACTCTCTCACAAGTGTCAAAAATGTGCCAACACGTGCCAAAAGTGCCCAGAGCGTGAGGAACGCATAAAACCACATTTCGTGCCCGGAATCAACATATCAGCTCTAAACAATGATTTTACGTGTATTTATCATATATGGCTATTAAAATTACCAAATAACTACATTTTCTGAAAATTCTGTGATATTTTCCACTTTTGTTTTTATAAAATTTGCTTTCGGATTTAAACAACAACAGCAGTTATTTCAAATTGCCCTTTTGCACATTTGTGCCCGGAAAAAAAGTCCGGGCTGTTTCGTGCACAAAGAAGAAGATATTTACGATCCAAAAGTGGAACGTATTCGCTCTCTATTACCCATTTTTCTAGCGTGAGGAACGCTTTCTGGGCTGCTTTGGGCACCCGTGGGTACCCGAGGGCTCGTGTGAAACAAACCTATTGTTAATTCTCGTTCTCCAAGTCTTCCTTAATAGAGTCAATACAGCACCTTAAATTTCTGGCGATCTGTTTGTTGGTGATTTAGTTCTAACTATTATTTTGCTTTCATCTATTTAAGACGGTTAAGAAAACTAAAACAAATAAAATTTAATGTGTCTGTAAGAGAACAATAAGCAATTTAGAGCGACTCCTCGAACATCTCTACACCCACAAGCAAAGCAAAGACCAGACGCTGCCACAACTAAATATGTATGTACACATAGGTGCTTTTTTCTTGTCGTCTTTGTGGCTATCCTTAATTTATTTATTGTCCTGAACGTTGTTGAGACCATTGTTATCGGACAATAAAGTTTTCATAAGGCCTTATTATGGCATATAAGTGCGCTTTCGTCCAACTTTGCATGTACATACATACATACATACAATAAATAAGTAAATAACTTTGTATTTATGTATGTATGTACATATGAATGGGCATAGTGGGCTGTCTGCATTCTAGGTTATTCGCCTATCTTCGGACATGGCGAGATACATATTTGCAGTGCTTTCAGCAACCACACGCTTGTTTACTTCCGAATTTAGGTCAACGGCAATGCATTTACTCGCATGCATTTATATACACACTTGAGAGGAGGGAAAATGTTGAGGGTGTTAGAGTTCGAGAAAGGTTCCGAAAGGAAATGAGTTTGTAAACTTTGTCAGTCACGCGCTTGGTGACACTCTGCGCTTATGATAGTTTTCTTTTTTTGTCTATTTCGAAAGACAACACGGACAACTGAACCAACACATTAGTGTGCTGCTCTCGATTGACGAAATCTGCATGCCGGATGAGTGTTTGCGAATTGGCAAGTTGACTGTCAGCTTCCAACGACAAAGAAATTGTGCTAATTTGAAAGAAGGCGACGACATCATGTCCGGTAGAGGTTAATTGAGCGTGTGTGAAAAGCGTCAGAGCAAAGCGATTTGTCTGGAACTTTACCCACGGTAGCGTGCTTTATACGGGTATGTGTATGTACATACATGCCTTGCCTTAAGAAGGGGGAAAAATTGGTAGTGAAAAATAATAAATTCGCTTATGGCTGAATAAGAATTAACAATACGTGAGCAGATTTTTCCTGATACGGCGCTAAATAAAATAGTACTTGTCGCAAAATGGGGGAAATGGCCGACTAATAGCACGCAAACTCTCTGTAAGGCGAATCACTTTGTTCAGCCATAAAGCAAGTTCATAAGTATAGATCTACTGGTTTTCGAAATGTTCATAAGTTGCGGATTTTCAGAAGGAAGTCTACCATAAAGGAAGTGGAAGTTCTTCAACCTGGGTATGCTCTAGCTAAGTCCAGTGTTTTCAAGCGCCTCTATATGGGAGTGTCAACGGCAGAGAATGGCTAATTTGGCGTGGACATTTAAATATTTATTTGCTGTTACATTTTGCTTGTGAGCAGGCTTGTACTTATGTATGTATGTATGTAAACTCGTACTCTAACTGAATTAAAATAGGAGCCAACTTTAATGCTTTTGCATGTTAATCATTATTAATGAGTAATGCCATGTATTAACATGCTTATGTATGCTTCGTATGTTTATGTATTATCGTCGTAAATAATAGCATTTTTTACAAACTACACAAATGAAAAAGGATAAGGGAATTGCTATTACGAAACCAACTATTTGCATGCTTTGTTTTGTTTCATGTTTTGTGGTTTCCGATTTCAAGCAGTCATGGTGAAGGATTAAATGGCAAAATGAATTGTAGCAAAGCGGTTTGCTTGCTGAGAGCGTGTTTGCACAGCTGTTATGAGCGGAATCATGTAAAACACTGACCGAGGAAATGACTAAAGCTTTTGAAGTTTTAGCTTGTTTATTTGAAATTACAAAAAATTTAGTTGTCTATCAGTAAATTTCTATTTATTACATACATATGTATACCTAACCATATCAAAGGAGATAACCGCAGAGGCCTCTGAGCGAAGAGTGCTGAACTTTTAGGTTCGAATGTAATGGAAGCTCAGACAACCAGCTGTAAATTTAAATGCCGATATCATTGGGTGCTGGAAATTCGATAAATGTTTTTTTTTATTGTATATCTGTGCATGCTATTTTTTTTAACTTTTGTTCCGGTTGTGGAGCAATGTACATATATTCATAAGGAAACCCTTAGAAAAAATAATTATCCAGAAAGAAAGTTTTTGTTTTATCCTCTCTTTTATGCTTCCAAATTCGGGTTTACATAAACAGTCTACAAACTCACGAAAGTGGTTCTGAGCCGAGCAAAGCCGTTCCGAGCGAGCGAAAACATTGTAACTATACGAGGGTTGAAAATGTATTTTTATGAATGTCTTCCAGCAAATTCAACAAATATGCTTGCCACTTTTCAT